ACAAACGTGTCGTGTAACAAACGTGTCGTGTAACAAACGTGTCGTGTCACAAACGTGTAACAAACGTGACGCGTAACAAACATGACGCATAACAAGCACGTAACAAGCGCGTAACAAACGCAACGCGTAACAAGCGTGTAACAAGCGTGTAACAAGCGTGTAGCAAGCGTGTAGCAAGTGTGTAACAAGCGCATAACAAAAGTGACGAGTAACAAAGGTGACGCGTAACAAACGTGACACGTAACAAACGTGACACGTAACAAATGTGACACGTAACAAACGTGTAAGAACCGTGTAAGAACCGTGTAACAAATGTGTAACAAACGTGTAACAAACGAGTAACAAACGTGTAACAAACGCGTAACAAACGTGTAACAAACGCGTAGCAAACATGTAACAAATGTGACGTGTAACAAACGTGACGTGTAACAAACGTGACGCATAACAAACGTGACGCATAACAAACGTGACATGTAATAAATGCGTAACATGTAACAAATGTGACATGTAACAAACGTGTCGTGTAACAAACGTGTCGTGTAACAAACGTGTCGTGTAACAAACGTGTCGTGTAACAAATGTGTTGTGTAACAAATGTGTCGTGTAACAAACGTGTCTTGTAACAAACGCGTAACAAACGTGACGCGTAACAAACGTGACGCGTAACAAACGTGACGCGTAACAAACGTGCAACAAACATGACGCGTAACAAACGGGTAACAAGCGTGACACGTAACAAAACGTGTAACAAGCGTGACACGTAACAAAACGTGTAACAAACGTGACGCGTAACAAACGTGACGCGTAACAAACGTGACGCGTAACAAACGTGACGTGTAACAAACGCGACTCATAACAAACGTGACGTGTAACAAACGTGTCGTGTAACAAACGTGTAAGAAACATGCAAGAAATGTGTAACAATCGCATAACAAACATGACGCGTAACAAACGTGACGCGTAACAAACGTGACCAGTAACAAATGTGACACGTAATACATGTTACGCGTAACACGTGACGTGTAACAAACGTGACGTGTAACAAACGTGACGTGTAACAAACGTGACGTGTAACAAACGTGGCGCGTAACAAACGTGTTGCGTAACAAACGTGTTGCGTAACAAACGTGTTGTGTAACAAACGTGTCGTGTAACAAATGTGTTGTGTAACAAACGTGACGTGTAACAAACGCGTAACAAACGCGTAACAAACACATAACAAGCGTGTAACAAACGCGTAACAAAAGTGACGCATAACAAAACGTGTAACAAATGTGTAACAAACTTGACATGTAACAAATGTGTAACAAACGTGATGTGTATCAAACGTGACGTGTAACAAACGTGACAGAAACGTGTAAGAAACATGTAACAAACGTGACGCGTAACAAACGTGACGCGTAACAAACGTGACGCGTAACAAACGTGACGCGTAAAACAACCGTGACGCGTAACAAATGTGACGTGTAACAAACGTGACGCGTAACAAACGTGATGCGTAACAAACGTGACGCGTAACAAACGTGACGCGTAACAAACGTGACGCGTAACAAATGCGTAACAAACGTAACAAACTTGACGTGTAACAAATGTGTCATGTAACAAACGTGTCGTGTAACAAACGTGTCGTGTAACAAACGCGTAACAAACGTGACGCGTAACAAACGTGCAACAAACATGACACGTAACAAACGTGTAACAAGCATGACACGTAACAAAACGTGTAACAAACGTGTAGTGTAACAAACGTGTAGTGTAACATACGTGTCGTGTAACAAACGTGTCGTGTAACAAACTTGTCGTGTAACAAACGTGTCGTGTAACAAACGTGTCGTGTAACAAACGTGACGTGTAACAAACATGACGCATAACAAGCGCGTAACAAGCGCGTAACAAACGCGAAGCGTAAAAAGCGTGTAACAAGCGTGTAACAAGCATGTAACAAGCGCGTAACAAGCGCGTTACAAGCGCGTAACAAAGGTGACGTGTAACAAAGGTGACGTGTAACAAACGTGACGTGTAACAAACGTGTAAGAACCGTGTAACAAACGCATAACAAACGCATAGCAAACATGTAACAAACGTGACATGTAACAAACGTGACGCGTAACAAACGTGACATGTAATAAATGCGTAACATGTAACAAATGTGACGTGTAACAAACGTGTCGTGTAACAAACGTGTCGTGTAACAAACGTGTCGTGTAACAAACGTGTCGTGTAACAAACGCGTCGTGTAACAAACGTGTCGTGTAACAAACGTGTTGTGTAACAAACGTGTCGTGTAACAAACGTGTCGTGTCACAAACGTGTAACAAACGTGACGCGTAACAAACATGATGCATAACAAGCACGTAACAAGGGCGTAACAAGGGCGTAACAAGGGCGTAACAAGCGCGTCACAAACGCGACGCGTAAAAAGCGTGTAACAAGCGTGTAGCAAGCATGTAGCAAGCATGTAACAAGCGCGTAACAAACACGTAACAAACGTGACGCATAACAAAACGTGTAACAAATGTGTAACAAACTTGACATGTAACAAATGTGTAACAAATATGATGTGTATCAAACGTGACGTGTAATAAACGTGTGACAAACGTGACGCGTAACAAACGTGACGTGTAACAAATGTGTTGTGTAACAAATGCGTTGTGTAACAAACGTGACAAGTAACAAGCGCGTAACAAACACGTAACAAACGTGTAACAAATGTGTAACAGACGTGTAACAAACGTGTAACAAACGTGACGTGTAACAAACGTGACGTGTAACAAACGT